GACAGTTCGTCCAAAACGTTCCAATTATTAATTTACCTCGCTCACAAGCGCGTATGCAGCGAACGAGTGCAACATGTTATTTCGCGTATAATGACGCTGCTGTGCACGCAAACGCGCGTAACCACCCCGGAGACGACATTAAGCGGGGCCCCATCGTTGCCGCCATCAACCCCCTTCCTTTCCCCCCTTTTCTCCCCCCCCCCCCGGAGGCGAAATCCGTGTCGAGAGGACTCTCCTTCGTTCCCTGAGGAAAGGAAAAGAGAAAGGCAGGAAGAAAAGACAGAAAAATATAGATCGTTTATTTTTCCCCCCGCGCGAGACAACAGTGGGAAAAATCGATCTCGATTACCGTGTGAATCGATCATATCCGTCTTCGGGAAAATAACGAGTGTTCCACCTTGACGCGACGACGACCCTCCAAATGTGAAAATCGTCATCGTAATTGGGCCAGGTATTATCGATAAACGTACGTAATAATGGGCGCCGAGGAGTCGAGAACGGAAGGCTTGTAATTAGGGGCTGAAAAATTGAAGCTAAAAGAACGACATTTTTAATGACAGTCGTAAAGGACAAAAATCGGAGAATTAAGAGGTAAAAGACGGAATCGTTGTAATCTCTTCGGGAAACGACGCATTTAAACTTTGTATAGGGTGTCTCAGATCTAACGGATCGCTAAAGTCGAGAATGGGTCCAGTGAAGTTAACTCTAAAGAATAATAAAATATATTTCGAAAAATATTACAAAGCGTCCCGCTCGAGTCACATGAATGACAATAAAACAAACAATGCATAAACACGTTATATACCGCAAAATTTTCGCAGATACATTTTCACACATACATTTAAACGCGAGTACATATTTGACGAGAGATTTTTGCAAAAAAAAAAAAAAAAAACAATTTTGTGGAAAATTGGATTAGACTCGCGTCAGCGTTTGCGAAACACCCCGTATATCCCGTTAGTGCCGCACGCGTATATACGTGCTTGTGCAAATCGTGCGTGCGTACTTCCGCGATGGACTAGCTGGGTGGTCCACACGATCACGAAATACGAGACTTAGAGGAGAGATAGAGAGAAAGAGGGACTCGTCCCGCGTATGCGCGCTCACGCGCAGTGTGCGTCCGCTCGTACGCACATACGCGGCGATCTTGCGTGTCGTGAGCGTGCTTATTGATTTCTAATGACGCACGTGTAAACGTTGATTTGCACGCGGGCTGGCCGTTGAGCGAGCCCCGCGATATCGTCTCGCTCTCGACCGGATTTTACAAATCTTCATCTCGATCTCGTCCTGTCGCGAGGGGACACAAAGCGTTGAGTGTATTCCTATCCACGGCGATGCTTGAGAGAAGTTTTATAAATAGTACGTGGCACACACACAATTTTTCCATTAGAAAATTGTCGAATATACAGTGATTTTCGTTCAACCATTAATTATATCTTTTATTATAATGGAGTTGCGATTTTTTTACCAGAAAGCTATTCTTTATTTTAAGATGTCTTATAAAAGAAACTTGGTAGACTATATTTGACTTTACGTGTGAAAACCTATTCAAAATTATTTCAAAGTCACAATTATATTTTTCCATAATTTTTTTATAAAACGACATATCTATTTTAGATCGTAGCATTACAGATTTTTAAAAAATTCAATCGAGGCATTTTTTAATTTATTTTACGAGTGCAACTTTTCAACGAAAATGGTTCTAATTAGTCGAATGTATTTTTCTTTGCATCTCTTTCGTGTAATTTAAGGATTTTCCAAATAATTCAACAAAGTTTATTGCATTGTATAAATCAATGCAATATAACCGGTTTGATTAAATGAATGGGCCGGGATTTATTTGATTTAATTCAATATATCTTATTCAAAATATAATATATATTCTATGATTTCTCTAGAATCCCCCGGAGTAAAGAGAACAATAAGAGACAATAAGACATTCTAGTGTCCTCGAACGAACTCCGTTAGAAGCAGGCAGGGGGTGTCTGCCGTGTTAAAAGGTTAAAGGAGGACGGCAGTTGAAGCAAAGTGCGAAGTGGAGACGGGCCCCTTATAATAGCGCGTCTCATTAGGTGGTCCCTCGGTTTCGCCGTGGGTGGTCAGTCACTAACACTGTTTTGATATTAAGCATAGGACCATGTGAGTTACGCGTACGCCGCCGTGATGTACGCACGTATTGCGTGTGCGTGTGAGTATCCCGCTTAACCGCCGCACATTGCGTTATTTAACGGTTATGGCGCTTAGGTACTTTTTCGAAAGTTGTATCTAGAGAATATTTAAATACGTGCCTAATCAATGTCAAAATCGACCGATAAAATGAAAATTTTCCAAATCGTTAACAATATATTTCTAAATCCGGAACACTTTTCGAAAAGTTTCGCATTCTAAAATAGTCACTCAATGTTTTCTGGGAACACTTTTTATAGCTTGCAGCCAGAGAGAACTATATATAATTAAAAAATTGTATATATTATACAATAATTAAAATATCATTTGAGATGGGGCGAGAATAACAGTAGTAAGTAATTTATTAAAGATATTTTATCAAACAGAGATGACTTTTTTCTTTATTTTTTAATTCTCTCAAGACTGGTATTTATAAATATAAAAAACGATTTTAAAAATATGCTTGTAATTATCTCAAATATCCCACGAGAATGTAGACTCTTATTCGTATCTTTCGTTCATAATGTAATCTACTCTTTTTAGAGAAATGATGCCCTAACTTTTAATTGATGCCATATATCGCGGCTGTTCTAATTCTATGAAAATTTTAAAAAAAAAAAAAATTATTTTCACTATTTATTGATAAACGAGACATGCATGATCGAGTTAAAACATTTAAACTTCAATTTATTATGTCAACATAATAATTCTATAAACAATAGCATTTAAAAAATATCACCGCTAATAAAATAATAATAATAATATTGGTGTTATTATTGACATGTGGAATTTTCAAAATCCAAGAAATAAAAGAAAAAGAAAATTAGAATAGAAACAACATTTAAGTTTAAATATGCGAGTGAAATAAAGAAGAACTTGAGCACATCTAAAATTATCGCAAACCTATTTTCCTATTATAACTGGAACTGAATAGAGGCACACATTGTATCCACAATGGGTCGTATCGAACTGAATAGACAGTAAGTGGTGGTCTGTTACATTTGACACGCTAATTTCCTAAAGCTCTCCTCGTTATACAATGCAGATGTATCCATCACTGAAGTCATTTAAGAATCGTCATAGAAAATCATAACTTTGTCATTAGGATACAATGGGATGAAAAATAGCGACTTGAGTCAGGTTAAAAATTTCATTATCGTGCGTTAGAGACGAACAGGTCTTAATATAAGGAAAAATCAATCAATATGAATTTAAGAAAAGATTCAATAATGCAATGAAAAATATTTCTAGATCGTAATACAATGTATATATAGCTAAATCTTGGGAGATAATTATGGCATTTTTTTATTTTAGGCTTATATGTTTTATTCGAAAATTATTTCCTATTAAATTATTTTCCCTTATTTCTAAGTTTTTCGTTAATACACAATCTGATTTTTATTGAACACTAAAACAAAACAAAGCGCGCGCCATTTATTCTGTTACATTATATATTTTTAATAACATATATACTTACTTTATGAACACAATTAATCCTTTCGAAATTATTTTCTCTTATTAATTTACCAATTCTTTGTATTGCACTGTCAATATAATCTTCGCGATGTCAAATGATAAATAACACTCAAATAACACGAAATATGCAACACCATAAAAACCAATCAGAGCGACGAAAAAGAGGCAATAATACATTTCGAGATTTTCGAGATAAACCGATACATTCGAGAATCGACTTAACAACATTTAAGTTGTCTCTCGCGCTCTATCTTTCCTTCTCCTTCTTTATTTTTATCTAATGGAGAGATAATATGTCTTTTTTAGAATAGGATAATATATATATATATATATATATATATATATATATATATATATATAGAAATATATCTATTGGTATATTTTGTCAATATCTATGAGATACATGTATCGAGGATGTACGCTATAAGAATTAATTTGTCTCCGCATTACGTATACCCCTACATGTGGCGCGGGGAAAGAATTGACAAGATTTTTCGCTTCTGACGTCATAATCCGATACGATTCTCAAAAGCCGTCCGAATTTCATGGTCGATCCGCCCCTGCCTTACGTATACGTCGCCTCCGCTCCGCTCGACGAAGCGAAGGATTCCGCCACGCGGACAGAGGCGTCGGCCCGACCTGGGTGGTCCCCGTCCTACGCAAACAGAGCGTACGTAGAGCCCGAGTCGTACGTCCTACGAACGACCAGGTATAATTCTCCCCTCCCTTCCTCCGGGCTCGCAGCGTCCGGGAAATTTACTGACTTTTTGGATTTCTCTCACAGCAGCGTGCTCACAATACACAATAGCGAGGTCCTATTCCTGTGACCATTCGTCTCGTTAAATTCGTAGACCACCATTTTAGCCCACGTTTGCGGCTTACTCCGAGTTTTTATGGCTGTTTAATAGCCCCCGAAATCGAACGAATCGTAACTAGGTATCCTACAGAGTGCCCTTGAGGTCTCAATCTACCTAGAATGAGAAAGAGAATGTCTTCATCTATGAAACGTGGCCCCATAGGTTCTAATCCTCTCGATTGTGTCTTATTATTCTAAGATTCTGTCATTAATAACAGCGTATAGTTTTATTGTTAGTTCATTGCATTTTGTAGATCACAATATTTATCGAATAATTTTATTACAAGTATGTGTTTTATTATAATTTTGTCTCTCAAAGACACATTTATCAGAGCAAAAAGTGTATTTTTTTTAACTTTGTCACATATTCCACCGATTCAAAATTTATGTGTAAAAAAGATGAATTATCTAAACAAGCACAACTCATATATTCTCTTATATACCTCGGATATTTCGTTTCCTTTTTCTCGCGTTGCTCTAAAAAATTATAATTATTTTCCAGAGTTTCAACCATAACGCGCGTCGCAGTTTAAGGCCGAGCGCGGCGCCGCTACAAATCCTTCGAGCTGAATTTACGATTTTAATTCGGGATAGTCACCGAGATGAGTTCAAGCGGATCCGTACCATGTATCCTGACCATATTGCTTTTCATTATGGCCCGCGGTGTGCCTTCGGACCACCGACGTCGCTGCAATTAGTAAGTCGGATATCTTCCTCTCCAACTCTTTCCTTTTCCCTCTCTTTCTCTCTCGTTCTGTGCCTCTTTCTCTCGCGCTCTATCTTTCCCTTCTCCTTCTTTATTTTTATCCAATAGAGAGATAATATGCGAATAAGTCTAAAGATTAAATTGCGGATAGCTTTAATTGAGGTCTAGAAAAAAACGTACGTATACTTTTGATATCCTTTTTAAAAATCTTTTAAATCTCAATGAAATATTAAGTTAATGTTTAAATAATTACAGTTGGTAAATTTTATATATTTAAGTTAGTCGTGAGGTTTTCTCCGATTAACAAAAGTCAATTATTACACGCATACGATAGAGATTAAAATAAAATTATGGAATCCCAATTATTGAAAGCAATTTAGATAACAGGATATTTTTAAGTATGCTTGAATTAAACTGTATAATTGAAAGCGACATTTAATCTTGTTATATCGACCGTGCATTTGTGTGTAAATATATATCCCGTCTTAACTCTCGAAACGCACAGAAAAATCGCGAAAGCATTAAAGTCGATACGAGCTGTCATGTACAGATTATTCGCGCGATACGGTCCATATATTGAAAGCATATCATTCTCGAAATTGGAATCGCAACAGCGGCCTTTCGAGTCCTCTCTCGAACGATCGTCGATTATCAATCGCGAGATTATTCTCTGGGAGATTATCCTCCTTCGAGGAGGATGCGCCTGGGATTATGCAACGCGACACGCGTCCGTGAATCGACGAGAAACCGCAGGCTGTTCCACAGGCGCGCTCGTTCACCGATTCAGCCGCTATCTCGCTCCCGCACTCATTAAGCCGATACACCGGCGTCGGCGAAGATCAAAGCCCGTCTCCTACGGAGGACCGCTTAATACCGGGTGGCGAGTTAAGAGTGTCGTAAAAATTATTAACGGTTCCTCGGCGCGCGCGTTCACCTTATCGCCGATCGACGGGGCGACCGCGGGGTGCATTCGTCAAAGAGGACACAATACGCAAAGATCCGCCTTTCTTTTCCCTTCGTCCTTTTTCTTCGTTCTCCTTCTCTCTTCTCTCTCTTCTTACCGAGCAAATGGAGAGCATCTAATATTTCTTTTTCACTTTCTTTTTTTTTTATTAGAAACAACGGCCGCGCTTGAATAACATCTCTCGAAGGATATTATATCGCATGCGTCAAATCATTTTTTAAATCAATATCTATAATAGTTGTCTTTTTTCTATTATAATGAAAAAGAGAAAATATTATACATGCAATGTGTTATATATACACAAAAAATATATATAAATATGTATAAATAAATACATATAAATAAATAAATAAATATATATATAAATTGACACAAATAAAAATCTCTTGAGAAATTGCAGTTTTAAAGTTACACTCGAGGTTTTAAATATTTTAAAATAACATTATATAATAACGTAATATAGGAAGATTTTTTAAATTGCATGCTACATTATATATGCGAATTTGGGGTAGTGTTATGCTTGATGAAGTCATATCGTTATGCAGATATTACGACGACAATTTAATATGTTAATCATGTCGAAAGAGAGAGAGAGAGAGAGCGCAACAAAAAGCGAAAGAGAGCTCCTTCGCCGGAAACGACCGGCCTTCACTCCCACGCATTTACATGTTGTATTCTCGACGGGGAAAATACCGAGTGCAAATGTGCATCAATGCAACGTTCCGTTGAAAAGACAGAGTTTAACTCGGTTATAGCCCTAAGTGATTTACAGTTATAGTTTGGCAACGTACGAGAGATGAGATGGTTGAGAGAGAAAAATTGTTGCGATAGAAATGAAAAGGTTTTCTTCTCGTAAATAAACCATTCAAAATAAACGAATTATATTTTCATTTTTCACAAATTGTATGTCCATTTGTATGTTACAATTTATCTCGCGCGATTTTGTGAAAAATATATTAATTCAAATTATTTTATTTAAGCAAATTCTAGACGAACATAATAATAGTAAATTAACTATATTCTTCGTTAAACGTGAGAATATATTATTTATTATTCTCTTAGAAATTACATTTGTTATAAATTTTTTTCGATTTAATTAAAAATAAACAATTTAATATTGAACTTTTTCAATTACGATCAGTAACGTTTTTAAGATAATAAAACTAGTGTTTTTGAAGCCTCGCATTACACTTATTATTATTATTAGAAGAGATTTTCTAATTCGAAACTTTTTATCTCGTGGAAATTAATGTTATTCGAGTACGATGTTACTCGAATCAAATGATCACATTTAGCGCTGAATATGGGTTATGAATACAAATACGAATCTTCGACGGCTCCCTGATAATCTTTTCTGTAAATGAACATGCACGTAAACAAACACAAATGCACGCCACGTGCATAAACAGAGACCGAAGCAACATGAAAGCGCCGAAGGATGCGGAAAGACAGAGAAGAAAATACCGGCATCGCGTATACACATATTCACACACTGTGATGTTTAAATGATTCCACGGATCAAGTATGATAATAACTTGTTTTAAAAAATTTAATTCAAGAGAATATATTGACGAGAGATTCTTTATTGACGACTCGTATACTTACTAATATTCCTTTTTTGAACCTTAATGTACTTTTTATTATCTTCATTCTTCCAGTTATGACCGAATGTAATCTCGAATGGTTCATTTTCCGGTTATGACCGAATATAATCTCAAACGATTCACGTATGTGAATCGCTTGAAAATTTTCCAATTTTTTAAATGTATTTTTATACAGCTGCTGTAAATAAATTGAGATCAGATGTCAGACTGTAAATGAAATGTTATTTTAACTATCTTTGTAAAATCATTTCATCTCTACTCGTCTTTCATTGCGATAAAATTAGAAATTACGTAAAGCGAGAAAGATTTAATGCGAGGTTTTCTAAAGGTTTTTCTTGTGAATTTTAAATTGATCTCTTATCTTCGAAATACCTAGACATTATTTCCACGCATATACATATTGAGATACTTAAAAAAATATTGGAAGAATATTGATTTTCAGAGAAAAAAAATTTGTCATTTTATTAACAATCGACTTGTCAAAATATTGCTATTTGCGAGATTACATAATAATATCATATCGCGATTTCCTCTTAATCAGTGATTACGCGTGTATTTAAATAAATTTTTGGGTAAGATTTTCGAAAAAAACATCCAGAGATTTCGTCCGTCTAGCCAGCACTGTGCGTCGTGCCAATCCGCAGCTGTGTGTACCGTCATATGTGTGCGTGCGTGCGTGCATACATCAGCGCGTCTCGGTGTGTGGGTAATGTTTTTGCTCCGAGGAAAAATAGGAACGCGTGTGTGGTCTTAGAGCCGGCTCCCCTCGCTAGTCCCCGGGTATCCTAGCAACGCGGAACGCCAAACGCCTCCGCCAATCGTCTCCGAGCCTCCGACGCTTCGGTCCATCTCGGCTCCGCTCGGCCTCGACGTCATCTCCGCGCGCAGTAACGCATCAATCCGCGGGTGGATCTTCGTTCTCGCCGAGCCTTGATCGATCGATCGATCAGACGAGGTGTGAACGTAGAATTTTTCAGTTTTGAAATTCAGATCATTCATTCATACAAATCGATATAATTTTCCATTTCCTCCTCTTTATTTTCGTGAGAGAGAATGCTATAAATATTTTATATAAAGTATATTAATATAATGCGAGGATTCTTTATAATTTTATAGCATACTTGTAGAGCATTCTTAATATATTAATACAATAATATTTATATATTATTAAAAATATACTAGTAACTTATAATTAATAACATTTTTCCGAGAATCCGTCAATGTATATATATCGACAGATTTTCTTATTGATTAAAATTAACGCGCGGATGCAGGTGAGAAATCTGGAACGCACGGGGCCCGTGGGCCGCGTACGAGCCTGAATGTTTGCGCAGGCCGATCGTGGGAAGGGGAGGGGAGGCCGTCAACTATGGCCGGCGCGGCAGGCAGGGCAGGCCACGAAAGAAATGTGGCAGCGAGTTTCGCTTAGTACCGACTTAGACTGCTCTAAGTGGCGGTCGTGTGGACGCCGGCGCCCGTCGTCGCACCATTACGCACGAGTACGCATCATCAGGACGCATCAGGGGCCCGCGCAGAGGGCCCGTCGCACTCTGCGAGCGCGTTCGAGCGACGACGACGACGACGACGACGACAACAACGACGACGACGACGATAACGTTCGGTTGTGATAGTGTGACAACGAGCCGGGTCCGTCACGGGCCCCGTGGCTGTCCGGCGTTTTACCGCGCGTGACGATTCGTACGCGGGAAAAAAATAAACACGTCGCGTCGCGCGATACGTTTCCCTCGCGTTGCTCTTCATCGATGAGAGAGAAAGAGAGAGAGAGGTGTGTTTATCGCGGGTAACCTAAAAACCGATCTCGGCGCAGTACGATACATATATCGGTAGGACGCGCGCGCATGCGCATCGCGGCACTCTATCCTCGTGCGCGAATTTCGAGCGAGGCGCGGGGTCACGTGGTTATCGTACGAACCCGCGGACAGTGTTGGTGAACAAGTGCTCCCGAAAGGTGTTACGATTTCTCCGGCCAGTGAGTGCGAGGGTGAGCGGGTCGTTTCGGTCCCACGCTCGAGTTCGCGACACGTTGAGAGAGAAAAAAGGAGAGAGAGACAGCTCCGAAAGGAACACCGCGCCTCGATCTGGAACCAGATCGTTCGAGTCCCCCTTGAAAAAAAAAACAAAAAGAGGAACCGATATTAAAACGTCAACGCAAAGTTATTTATTACCTCGAGGGCTGTCAGAGGACCTCTAGCGAGCCGCGCAACGAGAGATCGATGAAAAATTGAAGATCGGTGAGAGAGCGAGGAAGATAGACGGATAGAAGGAGAGGAAGGAAGGGGGCGAAGGTGAACGAGTTCGTGAAATCGTAACCGCGCGTGGCGTGCGGGCGAATGCATGACAGATCATGGTTTCCGTGTCCGGCCCCGTATCCACAGGGATCCTAGCGGAACGCCCTTCTGGATCGCAGGGCCCGCGGCAGAATGGCGCGGAGGATGAGAAGGACGCCAAGGCGGCGGAAAACGCTAGGATCCGGCACGAGTCGGATCTCTACGTCAGGCCCAGCTGGACGGACGCCGCGATAGCGTTGGATCAACTCGAAAAGGTGAGCTAATTTCATTGTTTATCATTCCTTCTCGATCCCCTCGACGTCTTGTTCCATTTTTGCCGCACGAAAACTTTATTACAAATCATAATTTCCGATGATAAATTATCTTCCGCAATTTCTTTTTTCAGTTTCTAATTAAATTATTAACTATTTGATATTAAAAATTATTATAGCGTTCTAAACTTTAGTATTAAAATCTGTTAGAAAATAAAAGTAATTGCAGTATTAAAGAATTATATAAGTTGGGAAAAAGTGAAAAATATATACGAAAGAAAAAAATTACGCGCTTTATTTTTCTTAGAAAATTGGAGCGAGAGGTACTTTTAAGTTTCTGACGTTTTTGAATTTTGACATTTGGAGATTCTTTTCAATCGTATTTAAATGCAAGGATGGCAGGATCTTTTCATGATCAAAAAGAAAACGATAAAAGGGATTATATAAATAGACAGATTATGTTTGTGAAATCAATCTTTTCTATATATTTGTCGTAATATTAATACATAAGTGTGATCAATTATTTGTTTGAAATCCTTTCGATTTTAAGAATGTATGATATATCATAATCTGTAGATTGCAGACTTAGAAATCAATTTTTTAGTTTCACGAAAAATTGTCTGAAAAATTTGAAAAAGAAACGAAAAAAAAGAGATTAAACGCATGTCATTTGATATCTTTTGTGCGCAGATATGTAATCAAATTTTTTCATAACTCTCATGCGCGTATGAATTATATAAAATTTCATATAAAATTCGTATTTCGTTAAAAAAAAAATCAATATCAACGCAAGTTAGTTCCGCCACATGCGGCGTGGAAAAAGTGTACATATCGCGTGAAATTATCCTGACGTTTACGCATGAAATACTACGTTAATGTTACGTTCTTCCGTGTAGATACCGAGACGACTAATTAAGACGGTTAACTAATTTAGCGGTTCGCCGCGTCCGTGGAACGAGGCTCGTTACGTGAGGTCTATTCTTTTATAGCTGGGCGCGCATAACTAGATGCAGATAATAGGGCGTCGCACACGCTCGCGTGAGCGGGATTCGGTTCTCCGGGGATATACGTGGAGATAAGCGCATGAATTCGATGCAAATTATATTGGCCGTTCACCGATAACGGCGCTATTATTTCCTACCGGCGGCGCGTCGCGTTATCTCCGATCGCCGATTAACGAGGCGCACTTTGACGATCGAGGAATGGGTTTTAACGGCGGTTAGCGGCTCCCGGACCCTTATCGTCGGCGAAGGGCCCCTCGAAAAGCGTTATTACCGATATGATGCCGCCGCAATCTGGTTGTGCCGGCTGCGGCGAAATCATACTTTGCGAAACCACTTCCTCCCCTGTCCATCGCGCCTCGATCTTGAATCGTTTCATTTTACAACTTGTACAAGGTAGCTTGTACAAAACGATCCGTTACTCGTCGAGAAAATGCATGATTTCATGTAAGAAAATACAGAAATCGAAAATAAGAGCTTTCTATGAAATTTAGATTAGAATTGGAATTTTAATTTCGAAAGGCTTTTAATTGAATGATGAGCGATATAGAATTGATCAGGGGGAAAGATTCTCGATTGAAAATTGTCTCGTGTTGAAAATTGCATCCTCTTGTTCTGAAAAAAACTAAAAATTTCCGAGCTTAAAGGAAAGTCATTGATTTTGATGATGATAATTACGCCGATTTCCGAAATATCCTCACGCACGCATAAGGAAGCTCGCACTGCGTTACGCATTAATAATGCGACACATACGCACGCCAGCCTCTCTGGAGTTACGCACACTGACTAGTTGTGAATTTTCACATACACGGGTGGTCCCGAAAGGCGTTTTTTTCAAAGGTTTCAAATCGAAGGATCGACTTCCTGCCGCGCGGAGCTCAAACGCGCCATCCCTGGCACTTCATCTCTTCTGCAATTAATAAAATCTTGCGGTATTTGTCATTCGCTCGGTCGAACGAAAATGTGCGTGACATATGAATCGGTATTACTTTTCAAGAATTGCTCTCTTCGATACGGAACGATCTCGTATATAATCGATTTTTTATATTTCTTTGCCTTCATCGATTGATTTCGAAAGTTTCCAACGGTGTTCTCGATTAATCTTGCTGTCACTCTTGATCCTTTTTATTTATAAGCTTTGATATTTCCGCCAAGAAAGTATTCATTGTTCCAGCCAGTTAAACGATTAAAGACAATATACTTTTTTCTTTTTGCCTCTACAATAGCCTTGTATTTTTAAATACGACGAGATAACATAATTATTTCGCATATATTAGCCATACGTTTATTTCGAGAGATTGTTACTTATTTTAATTTGTTTTTGCACGAAGGCTTTTAATCTTTTAATTTAATATCCGTCAGCTTTAATTTCGATTACGCTACATTAAATCCGCGTTGATGCTATTTTCAATTGCGTTCGACGTATCCTGGCCGATGGTCCGAGAAACGCGCACCTATAATAAGAGGCGAAGCGGAGTAGCAGGCCTCGCGAACTTTTTGCTCGCGATAATCGCGCTGGGTGGCCGCACGAGCGATTTCTACATCGCGGATGTACCGGGTCGTTCCGTTGAAATCGGTTACGTCTTCATTAAAAGCGGCTTTGACATTGTCGAATCGTAACTTTTCGCAGTGATAAGAGCAATGATATTTTATTATAGAATTATTAAAATGTGCGCTTTATTTATAGTGATTTTTTTATCATCATAAATATTTGACATATTCACGCACGTGATTTTTTCTTTTTCACATTAAAAGTTGTAAATAATTTTTTTAATAATTGCTGATGTTCAAGGGTTAAGAAATCTTAATTAGATGCAGATATATTAATTAAATGATATTTTTTAATTTTTATATTGAAAATCTTTATATACAAGAATTGTTCAATTTATTCTTATTGAAAAACTCGGATTCTTTTTCTCCCGTTTACATTGACGGTATACGTTTACTGTCTCACGAATTACCGTACGACCCGCGACAGGACGAAAGGATTTTCGGAGATTCCTCGCGCGCGATTGCACAATCGAGAACGCGATCACTGGTGAAGCTGAGAAGCGATGACAGTCGGGACGAGCGGCACAAAGAGACTAAAATTCGAGGTCGATGCTCCACTTTTCTTCTCGACGAGGCGGCTCTCGGCTGAAGAAGAGAATGAGCCTCTTCGTGCTTCGCGTTTATGCCGAATGAGTCAGTGAGTCAGTGGCCCCGGCCTCCACAAGGCGAGCGTGCGTGTGTGTGCGTAAGTGCGTGCGCGGAGACGTATGCATACGGGGTCTGTTTCCTTCTCTCTCTCTTTTTTTTCTCCCTCCACAAAGAAGGGAGACTGACTATCTCGGGAGGATTTATGTGCGGGATGATAATGGAACGTGATGAATTAGTTTCGTCGGGGAATATCGAAGGATACATGTATGTATGTGTGGCATGTGTTTCTTTGAAAATATTGTTATCGTTATCTTTCCCCATTTTTATCGCGTACACCTTTTTCTCCGTGACTTAATTTGCTCGATAAGATACTTTTCCAAACATGCGATATGAATGGAATATTTTATGAAGAAGGAAAAGTCAATGAATTTTACGAAATCATTTTATTCTATTTATTACACGTATATGAAAAATTTTTCTGTCTGATGAAACAGCCACAAAAATTATTTTTAAATTTTTCTACTGGTTTTTATTATGTGCAAAAATTATTTGCGAATTTAAGAGAGAGTGTGTGTGATTGATCTATTAGAAGTTAGCCCCCCACTTTTCGAATTAATAAATTTTAACGGTTGTACTGAATTGTGCTAGGTTTGTGCTATATTGTGCTCGAATATTATAACCATAATATGAAAAATACGAAAGAAAATGAAGAAAAACGAATTTTTAGGTCAGCCCCCCACTTTTCGTTTTTTTCAATTTTTGCGATTGTGCTGAATTGTGCTAAGTTGTGCTAACATTGTGCTAAAATATTATTTAAAAAAAATAATAACAAAAAAAGTTACGATGAAAAAATCATTTTTAGATAATATTGATTTTTTTATCATAACTTTTTTTTTAATTATCCGCTGACGATAATATTGCATATCTGAATTGTGCTAGCCTAGCACAAGTCAGCACAACTTTCGGTTTCTCCAGCACAGCGATATCAAGGGCACTTTACTCTTGAGCGCGAGTCCTTGCGCTCGGATTCTATGTCCGTAATTCGGCTTTTCAATTGTCCGATGAAGATAATATTGCATATCTGAGTTGTGCTAGCCTAGCACAAGTCAGCACAACTGTCGATTTCTCCAGCACAGCGATATCAAGGGCACTTTACTCTTGAGCGCGAGTCCTTGCGCTCGGATTCCATGTCCGTAATTCGGCTTTTCAATTGTCCGATGAAGATAATATTGCATATCTGAGTTGTGCTAGCCTAGCACAAGTCAGCACAACTGTCGATTTCTCCAGCACAGCGATATCAAGGGCACTTTACTCTTGAGCGCGAGTCCTTGCGCTCGGATTCCATGTCCGTAATTCGGCTTTTCAATTGTCCGATGAAGATAATATTGCATATCTGAGTTGTGCTAGCCTAGCACAAGTCAGCACAACTGTCGATTTCTCCAGCACAGCGATATCAAGGGCACTTTACTCTTGAGCGCGAGTCCTTGCGCTCGGATTCTATGTCCGTAATTCGGCTTTTCAATTGTCCGATGAAGATAATATTGCATATCTGAGTTGTGCTAGCCTAGCACAAGTCAGCACAACTGTCGATTTCTCCAGCACAGCGATATCAAGGGCACTTTACTCTTGAGCGCGAGTCCTTGCGCTCGGATTCCATGTCCGTAATTCGGCTTTTCAATTGTCCGATGAAGATAATATTGCATATCTGAGTTGTGCTAGCCTAGCACAAGTCAGCACAACTGTCGATTTCTCCAGCACAGGGATATCAAGGGCACTTTACTCTTGAGCGCGAGTCCTTGCGCTCGGATTCTATGTCCGTAATTCGGCTCGCGCTCAAGAGTAAAGTGCCCTTGATATCGCTGT